TGCCATCTTGGCTGGCAGTTAATTTGCATATTGCCCTGATTAGCCAATGGGAAGGGTAGCGGTCGTATGCCAATTACCATGTTTCTCTTTTATTAGAGAGGACTAGAGACCTGGTGTACGAATTTGTGCACAGGTGGGGTCTGGCTGGCCCACCCCATCAGGGCCAATTGGGCAGGGCAGGCAAAGGGGAAGGACAGTGGGCAGTTGGCTGGCTGACCCCACTCCCTGGTCGAACTCCCGGTCAAGGCGACAATTTGCATATTAGCCTTTTATTATATAAGATAGATAACTTTGGATTAGTGAGCATAGCAATATGAAGGTCTTGAAGTGAGTTTTGATGAGCTCATCATTAGTTTTGTTAAATAAGCTATTTTAGTTATTACCTCCCAGGAGCATGCATTTCCTGGAGGCAGTAGCCAATTTATTGTTGTTTGCTTTCAGATGCATAGTATAGGGACAGGAAAGATGCCTAGCACCAACATAGTTTACCACAAGAACAGGAAATTGATTTGTTGTGGTATTGCTTAACATAGGGACAGGGAATTATTTTGGTTTCATTTCTCAAGGGGGACTATTGTTGAAAAGGAGAAAGAGAGGGCCTTCCCTGAGGGACATCATCAGTGTCTACCAGAGGGACTTTGGATGTGATCTCAGGTCAATCTTAGCCTATTGTTAGAGTACTCCTGAAGAGTAGGTAACTGTTTAACTAGGTCCAATTCACAAAGGCTTAGTATTAGGGAATTACAAAATGTTCCTTTTCCTCATAGTCATGGAAGTATAATTAGGAAGTTGATAAATAAATCTTGGAAGCCCTTTTCTCCTGTTCATAAAAACCTCACTTTATGTGCTTGCATCTCTTTGTAAACCAAAATTAACTCCCTTAGTTAACTCACAATTTCAATTTTCTCTTTTACCTCATGAGAGACTTACTTTTGGTTTCCCTTTGAAGCCTACCTTTATATTCTGAGTCATTCAGGAATCTTGGACTAGCCAACCTATTTAGTGTTGTTGAAACTGAAGTATAAATGTAGAACCTTGGATCCCATGTCATTTTCTTGTGGATTTTTTTCCATTTGAATGAAAATCTTTCATAAAATGAAAGAGCAAATTCTGTCCCAGTGATAGCCACGTAAGGGGTGAATGATATACCTTGACAATGGAGCTGTTATTTTTATATGTTATGTATTTGTTGTTGCTAAAATTCATGTGTCCCTCAAATTCCAATTGTTTGGTGCCAAACCCTGCTTTACTTCAAACTGGTCTTTAATTTACTGCAGTAAGATATTTATTTTGTGTTCTGCATCTGAAAATTACATTATATGGAGGTATTGCCTGTATGCTTCTATACTTTGTTTTTATCTGTTTCCAAGTTCACCTTCTTCATTCTCTGGGAAACAATGCTTGTCTGTTTTTACAATATCTCATACACAAGGCTTGTTGAACCCAGGTCACCAGTGATCGGTACTTAACGGTACTAACTGCTGCTATAGTGCCTACTACCACCAAACAGAGCAAATACTGATATTGCACTTTCCTTATTTTCTGCACTTTGAGGACTTTCATGCTCTATCACCATTCAGAAATTTTTAACCTTAAAATATATATATATATTTTATTGGGATATTGAGTGTTTATTCCTTGGAAAATTTTTCTGTCACATTGGTCCTAGCCTGCAGGAAATTTAAACATTGAATGTCAAAAGACTTTTGCAGTTTTATTTCTGAAGTTTCAGAGCTCTTATAGGTATATAAATATTTTATACTTCCTAGAATTTTATGAGGGGCACTTCTGATCTACTTCCATAACCATTGGCTTCCCCAAATCTCCCATATGTTGTGGTGCCCAGGACCCCATCCTGTAATTCCCCTCATCTCATAGATTTGTCCCCTGGAATATAAGAACAGAAGTAGAAAGTTATTTCTCCATTCAGTCCTGTTCCGTCCTTGCACAATAACTCTCAAATCTTGGTCTTTCCCCTAGTCCAGCTACACAGGCCAGTACCTCTCGTCTGAGCCCAGAGTGCATACATAGTACAGAGTGTAATAAAGGCCATAACTGGGTATCCTGCTTCCTTAGACCAATATTGCATGCCCCTTGGAGTCTTGTGATCCTGCTGTCCTACTTATCAAGACTTTCATTTTGCTCTCTCTTTCAGATATCCTGTTAACATCGGAGTATATGTCGACAATGTGCTATATAAAGTCGTGGCTCCTGATATACGTAGTACTCTTTGTGCAATTTCTTCCGTGTTTGAGATTAAAAGGTATTTCATTCAGATATTAAATGCTTAGAGAAGATTCATACAAAAAATGTGTAAACTTGCACATCTGAATGTATCTCACTGCTGTATTTGCCAAAGAAGGTCTCAATGTCTTTAGTTATACTTCAGGTTAAGCTGCAATTCTCCCTCCTTATGTGGCTCTCAGGCTGCTGCTATAGTGCCTGTTACCACCAAACAGTAGCTGGTCCTGATCCCTTCATAGCCATCATTACTTATTTCCCAGCACTTGGAATTTCAACAATAGTAATGCTGTTCACTTCCATAGGCAACCATGGATAGTTAGACTTATCACTCAAACTGTTCAGAATATTTTACTTTGATAATAAGAGGAAGAAAAATAGATGAACCAATATCCAGATTATTTGGCCCAACTTAGTCTCCTCTTACTCCTTCTTTTGCGCTTCCTAGGAAGCTAACTTAAATATATTCTCTTTCTTCCTCATTAGAGATAGGAAATAGAATCTTAATTTCAGGGAACTGAGGGCATAGGGCAGAGTAGGTATCAGGTATATTTGAGAATAACCTCTTAAGAATTTGACCTTAGGAACTTCACACCATACAAGGTGAATAACTGAAGTGATAAATTATGACATCAAATACTTGACATACAAAATATTTCCTAAAGGAAAAGAGTTGTGGATGAAGAGAGGGACTGGGAGATTTAGGGAGATTACTTAATCTATAGTGACATATGCAATTCACAAGACAAAGTGGTTTTTGAGAGCTCTCATAAAAATTAGATTTATCTATGATTCAGGAAACATAAGGCTAAAAAAAAAGACAATTTGACTTGCTCAATTTATAAAGACCTGCATAACTTTGAATTAGTAGTTATCATGTGCTAGCAGATGTGAAAAACACTTCGTAGTAAATATCTTATTAACTTCTCCAAACAATCCTATGTGGTAGGTTCTATTTATTTTCAACACTTTTAGATGAAGAAATTAAGAATCCGAATTTTTAGGTGAATTGTTCAAGCTCAAACAACCTGTAAATATAGAGTCAGGATTGGAACCTAGATATTTTAAATGCCAAACAGTTTGCTCCAACCATCGTGCTCTTCTTCATGTTGTATATGGTTATCAAGACACCTTTGCATGCTTGGAGTGATGGGGAGGTCACTAACTCATTAGACAGTTTGACTTATTTATTCATTTATTCAACAAATTTATATTGAGCACCACCTAGATACTAGCCACTATTCCAGATATTGACAATACAGTAAGGAGGCGGGAGCCAAAAGTCTTTGCCTTCATAGACCTAATTTTTAGTGTAATGTGAGAAAATTCTTCCTTTTTGAACTTTCTTGTTAGTAATTGCCAGTATTTGTTGACTTAACAAACACAGTATTTTTTCTGCCTGACTTGTATATTTTTTTTTACTTTAAATATATATATTTTTTATTTTTCAATTACAGTTGACATGCAATATTATATTATCTTCACATGTACAATCCAATGATTAGACATTATATAACTCAATAAGTAATCACCATGATAAATCTAGTACCCATCTGACACCATAGTTATTATAGTACTATTGACTATATTTCATATGCTGTGCTTTATATCCCCATAACTATTCTGTAACTACCAATCTGTACTTCTTAATCCCTTCACTATCCTCCAAACCCCTTCCCTTCTGGCAGCCATCAAAATTTTCTCTGTATCTATGAGTTTACTTCTGTTCTGCTTGCTTGTTTATTTTGTTTGGTTTTTTTTTAGATCTATTTTGCTTGGTGTAAGAATTGCTACCCCAGCTTTTGTTTGTGTGTTTCCATTTTCATAAAATACCTTTTTCCATCCCTTTACTTTTAGTTTGTGTGTGTCTTTTGTTCTGAAGTGAGTCTCTCGTAGACATCATATGAAAGGGTCTTGTTTTGTTATTCATTCCAGCCTCCATATGTTTTTTGATTGGAGTATTTAATCCATTTGTATTTAAAGTAGCTGTTGATAGATATGTATTTACTGCCACTTTACTATTCATATTTAAAATTTTTTTTCTTCTTCTTAAAGAAGACCCTTTAATGCAGGGGTCCTCAAACTTTTTAAACAGGGGGCCAGTTCACTGTCCCTCAGACCGTTGGAGGGCTGTGCTAGAGTTTAAAAAAAAACTATGAAAAAATTCCTATGCATACTGCACATATCTTATTTTGAAGTAAAAAAAAAACACAAAAAAATGGGAACAAATACAATATTTGTATTTGCACATGGCCCATGGGCCATAGTTTGAGGACCCCTGCTAATGTTTCTAGTAATACTGGATTTGATGGTGATGAACTGCTTTAGCTTTTTCTTATCTGGAAAGCTCTTTATCTGTCCTTACAGTCTTAATGATAGTTTTTCTGGGTAGAGTAATCTTGGTTGTAGAACGTTGCTTTTCATCACTTTGAATATTTCTTGCCAATCCCTTCTGGCCTGCAAAGTTTCAGTTGAGAAATCCACTGAAAGTCTTATGGGAGCTCCCTTGTAGGTAACCAACTGCTTTTCTCTTGCTGCTTTTATGTGTCTTGGTGTGGGCTAATTTGGGTTGATCTAGTGCAGGACCCTCTAGACTTGTATGTCTATTTTTTTCTCCAGGTTA